ACATTTGGCCTTCATTAAGATGGGAGTCAGAATCATTGAGACCAAATGGAAAGCCAGACTGCTGGGGGTTATGAAAAATTCAAATGACATTTTTTCCTTTTATCTGACAATTCTCATTAAGGAGACATGCGTCAACCTGAAACACATAAACTTTAAATATAGAGGACAGGATTCAAATTCCATATTGCAGAACTAGGACCCCAGTGACTTTGCCCAAGAGCTATGGTGGTCCTGGTACATCACTTCTGTCTGGGAAGTCTGAGCTCTAAATTCTCCCCACCCCCTCTGACATCTGATTCCAAGCTAAGGAGAAGCCTCACATGAATAACAGCAGTCCAGAGGTGAGCAGTCAGATCTGACTCCATCTAGTTTACCCCTCAAACACAAGCAGTCTCAATTGTCCTGCTGATTTTACCCCCTACAGACTTCTAGAACCTGCCTCTTCTCCAACCCACACAGCCTAAAGCAGGTCTCATTGCTTCTCACCTAGAATGTTACAGCAGTGTCTTGTTGGGCCTCTCAAGTTATTCCAAATGATTTATACAGTACCTATGATGTACCAGATATTTGATTAGATGCAGGGACACATCATGGACAAAATAGATCATTGACAAAATAGATCCATCCTCCTGTGGATGACAATCAATGGGGAGGAGGCCAGGGGATATGAATCCTCACATAAACTGACATCACAGTTTCAATTTGGGGAAGATACAATGAAGTCAAATGAAGAGTGCAATGACAAGAGACTTCTGATTTATTTGAAGGTCAGAAAAGGCTTTTCTAGGGAAAATAAACCTGATATGTAAATGATGAGTGAATCAGTGGTGAAGCATGGGAAGAAAATTCAGGGCGTAGGCACAGTATCCCAACATCATCAAGACTTGCAAATTTTGTCTTTAGTGATCCAGAGAGCAAATACTGGCAGCTTTGCAGCCACACAATCTCGTTTCACTATTCAGCTGTCATCGCCATGCAAAAGCAGCCATGGACAATTTATAAACAAAATAGTGCATCTGTGCTCCAATGAAACTTTGTGGCCCTAAATTTTAATTTCGTCTAATTTTCACAAGTTCCAAAAGATTACCCTACTTTTGCTTCTTTTCAAACATTTGGAAACACAGAACCTATTCTTAGCTCCTAAGTCAACCAATGATGAACAGCAGCCTGGACAAGGCCTCTTGGTGGTAGTTTGCCAACCCCGCACTAACATTCTGAGGTGGCATGGGACTGCATGCGTGTGAGGCTCGCTGAGTGGATCCCTGAGGACAACGAGAGTGAGCAAGATGAGGGACAAAGAATAAGATGTGAGTAGGAGGTAAGAATGACACCACCGACCACATACTCTGGAATGTACCCTCTGAGCAAAGTCAAGCCAACAAAAGTGTATGATCAGGAAAGTATGGAAAGGAGTTAACTCCCACAAATAGACACATTTTCTCACCCCGGATTCAAACCCAACATCCCTGCCAAAGACACCCCCTCTTAAAAGCCATCAACCAAGTTCTGTGACCAAATAAGCTCTAAGCCCTTAACACCAAGCCCATGCTACGTGCTTGGCTCCATGGCTGCTGTATTCAGGGAAGCACCAAGCTCACTGGCCACCCCCTTGCCTTGCCTTAAAAAGAACCAGTCTGTCTCCAGAATAACCTTTCTGTCTCCTCTATAAGGCAAAACCGGTATCTATTCCTATCACAAATAACTCCTCCCAGAAGTGCATTATTTTCTTTCAAAGCACTTTGCCAACGCCTGTATGGGGTGCTTAGCACATTTGCTGATGGTCCCATTTCCATGTGGAGCTGCTCCACCCACCCCCACACCTTCGAACCCTCCCCATTATTTGCAGTAGACTCAGGTCAGGTCAAGGCCGTGTCCTCTTTCCGACTGCACCCCAGTGTCCTTCATATTACTGTTTCATAGTATGAGCTCAGTAAAGACTTGTTTTATTAAGAAATTAATAGAGATTGGGACCCTCCGTGGTAGCACAGCAGGTTGGAGCCCTGCGCTGCGAAGCAAAGCCGAGCAGAGGCAGCTTGGTGAGAGTTTGATCCCACCTGTTCCCTTCAGCAGTGTACTTCTTCGATCTGCCTGTTCTGCTCCCCACTCTGTCTCTGGTGAAGACTCTCATTGCCCCTGCACCTCTGGCTTGTGCCCCAGTTCTGTATGAATAAATAAATAAATCTTTTAAAAAAAATCATCAAAAGAGAACCCTATGAATTTAGCACACAGTCTTAAGTTCTTTAACTTCAATTTTGCCCTTGAAGCAGTCTATAGTAGAGATCCAAGGTCCTACTGTCTGTCTCTCATAGGCCCATCCAGAAGGAGGTAATATTTCCTGTATCTCCACCAGTGATATTTTTCAGGACACAAGCACAGAACATTTATAACTAAAAGTGGTTTTATAGCGAGTCAACAGGCTTCAACATCAGCATCACTTGGGAGATATTAGAAATGCGGTATTTCAGTCCCTATCCCCGGGTTACTGCTGGGTTGTCAGAAAAGTCATGATGCACTTTTGCTTGAAAAACATAGAAAAAATACGTCATGACTTTTCCAATAGCCCAATAAATCAGATCTGTAGTTTAACAAGCTCCAGATGATTCATTTACACATTAAATTTTGAAAAATGCTATAAGCCATCTTGGTCAGACTTTAAGAGGAAGATGCTATAACTGATTATAGAAGTAGTTCTGATTTTGAATTTGCAATCAAATTCAAAGTAAAACCAAAGGGATTTTCTGTAAGTATTTCTATGCATGCTTACCAAAAAAAAAAAAAATAAAAATTAAACTAAATAAAAAAAAAAAGTTTAGGCCCAGTCTTCAGTTATATATATATATATATATATATATATATATATATATATATGTGTGTGTGTATATATATGTGTGTGTGTGTGTATGTATATATGTATATATAAATATATATGTGTGTGTGTATATATATATATATACATATATATGTGTATATATATATATGTATATATGTGTATATATATATAACTGAAGGCATTCACTGATTTGATCCTCACAAGCTCCCCTGGTAGAGAGCATGAGAGACAGACTGATATATATAGTTAGTTAGGTAGGTAGGTAGGTAGTATAGTTAGGTGGTGTTTAGAGCCTTACTCAAAAAGTTCTGATGTGAAATTGATTAGATGGATGGATGAATGGGTAGACAGATGACTAGATGACCTTAGAAGACCATAATCACAACCATATAATCTAGAATGTCATTATTTTCTTTGGGTTTTATGTAGTGAAGGTTGATCTCCAGAGCACAATAGTTAACTCTCTGACATCTGTACAGATACATAGTGGATGTCTTTCTATAGCTCCAAGCATATACAGCCCTGAGCTGGGCACAAAGCAGGAGCCCAGCAAGGCCTTGCTTGATCACGCACCCACTCACTCAATTCAGCACCACTCTTCCTTACCTATGGCCAAGAAGGGTGACATATCCAGCCATTTGTCCAATACTCCATGTACAGGCTAGTTCAAAGGTCACTCTCCTTGCTCCTGCTCCTTCCTCACTTTGGTGAGATTTTTACAGAGGGATAATGTTGGGACAGGTAGGGATTTGGAGTCCAGTTGACCTGGCTTTAATTCTGGCTATCCCTTCCATGAGGGAAAAGCCATCGACCCTCTCTCTCAGTCTGTCTCTCATGCTTTCTACAAGGGGAGCTTGTGAAGATTAAATCAGTGAATGCCTGTATAAAACACAGTGTGGGGACTACGCAGGACTTTTATAAATTCCAACTTGTATTTCAGCATTTATTTGGATCAGGTTTTCAAACTGATACAGTCCAACTCCCTCACTTCATATAGATGGGAAAAGCAAGGTCAAGAATGAGAAATTTTTTGCCCCAAGTAACACAATGTGATGTTAGTAGAAAATTAGAATTCTACCCCCACCCCTTGCACCCCAGACTGTTTTCAAATGCTTAGCAACTATAAAAGCCATCATGCAGATTAAAACTCACAAACCAGTTCCACACAGAGGAAGCCAAGCCAGCTCTGACCACTGATACCCTTTTTTGGCTACCTCCCTTCTGACCACTGATACCCTTTTTGGTTACCTCCCTTCTGTCCCAAGGTAGCAATTCTGAGACGACTTCTCACCACCCTAAATTCACCCATTCCCATGTACATTTTGAGTAATTGAAAACTCAGCCTATCTGAAACTCAGAGCCAGTAAATGAATCACACCAGGGCTTACTCATTAGATAGATTCTCTCCTCTCCAGACCACCAAGGGATTTTTAAGTCCCTGAGGATCCCAGAGCACTTGAACTTTCCAACACATCCATCTCTAATGGGAACCATTAAGCTGACATCACCATTCTCCACACTTCATAACATCTGGAAATGGGAACCACCTGCCAGTGCTTTGGACAGAGATCTCCTTATCAGCCCAGGACACGGAAACTCAAGTTCAGGTAAGATGACAAAGGAACAACCTAAAATGCCAACAAGGCCAGAGATTAATCATTGGGGATAAAAGTGTGTCGAGAAAGAAGTTTCTTATCAGAAGATCTGGACTTCAAACCCAGTTCTGTCACTTTCTATTGCAATGGTAATAAATCTCCCTGAACTTCAGAAGAGTACTGTATATTAACAGAATTGATTTCTGAATCAACCAATCTTAGGTTCAAATCCTGGCTCCATCACATCGTTATTGTAGCACTAGGGGTGAGTTAATCTTTATTAGCTTTACTTGTCAACAAAGCACACACATACACACACAAACCCTATTTGATAGCAAACCCTATTTGCTGTAGAAGAGATAACCTATGTTAAAAGCTATCACAGGTTTACATGATTGGAGTATATGAAAAATGGAAGGAATTTAACTACAACCTAATCAATAAAATGGGATCAACCTTTCTCAGAAAGCTGCTAGGTAAAATCAAATGCAACAGACTAGCAGGCTGCTGGTATCGACAGAGCTGCAGCAAATGGAACTCTTTCCTATTATTATCCTCTCAACCCAATCACTCACCTCTTTCAGCCACAGAAGCTTTGGGGCCTGCATCTCCACAGACATCACCCCACCGACATACTGCAGGACGCAGTGCTTGGTTTCATTGATTCTGTGCACCTGGCTGACAGCTCGGTGGTCCAGCCACATGATGATGTTTCGACGGGAATCTCCTAGCAGCAGAAACACAGAGATGAGCACACTGTGCTTTCTAACCCTTAAAGAAATTAGGGGTTTCTAGGAACAATGAGCTGTACACATTCTACCATTCAGAGAACTTCGAGCGAGCAAAAGGACCACCAAGGTGAATAATACACTCTAACCCGACCCTGGACTTTCCTTCAAGAGATGGGCTTCTTGACCAAAGCCCCAGGGTTAAATGTCTAAACTAACCCCTCTCAATACCGACCAGTTAGTTAGCGCTCACAATCTCTCAACATCTTCCCTCTTTACCCGTTATGGTCTAGAAAGATATTCTGGCAATGTATTCAGGAAAACAGCCTAGAAAATAAACCTACAATAATACTTTGACTTTGTAAGATCAGTCTTCTCTAAATATGAGCGCATATTTTGACAGTATAATACATATCAAATGCCAACTATAGCTACACATGGGTTTCATCTGCTTATATTCCCACTTCCAGTTGCTTTAATTAAAATCAGTTTAGCTTTTCCCTCACTCAGCTGGCTTGTTTGGTAGAGAGAGAAACACACAAGTTTTGGAATCAAGCAGATCTAGGGGGAATATTGGCAGTTATAGGTAGGTATTTATTGAGAAAATAAGTCTAAGTTTCATAATCCTCCTCTATAAAGTGGTGACAGCAATAGCTAATATCGTATAAGAATTACTGAGAACTTTCATTTAATAAACTAGAGCTAATGTGCACAAAAGACATTGTAAGTACCTATCACAGTAAACCCCCAGGAGCTGTGAAACACAAGGAATGGGATCTGAAACCAGCTGGAAAAGGAGTGTTGGGACCACTCCTCATATCCCACTTGTACCATCCTGCAGCCCACACAGAGGGAATGGACCCTGTCTCCTTCTAGCCTCCGGTAATTCATCCAGTCCCAGCGGTCAAGTGAGAATACTTTTCTCCCTATAGAGTCCTCAGCTTCCTAAGGTGGCAAAATGCAGAGCAGAGATATATGCACTGTAATACATTTTTTTTGGTAGCAAAATTACAGTAGCAACTATGTAACTTTGTAAATGTTTATAACCCTTGTGTGTTTATGTATGTGTATGTGCGCCATGTATGTGTATGTGTGCCTGTGTCCTAAGTCTTGTGCCTAACATTTTATTCACATTCTCTCCTTTAAGCTAGGGAAGTTGAAGACAATCCTATCTCACTGCTGAGAAAAGCATGAAGTGTGCTTTGAACAAGCTTTGAAAACAGATCTGAGAAGGTGATACATGTGTAAAATGAACTAACTAGGATGAAACGCATTGACATGAATAATGAAACCAACTGGGATATTTTTAAACACTGTATCTATTGTGTGGTTGCAGGTACACCCACGCAAAAAAAGCACAGGTCACCTGCCAGTATTGTTTTTTTCTATAACAAAATAAAGGCTTGAGGCAAATATGTAAACTTTCAATTGTCTATTCTTAGTAGCAGTACATGGGAGTATTCTTTTCCAGTTTTAAAGAGGATTTCATTTTAATTTAAAGGAAAAAAAAATAACAAGCCAACCCAATATGTATATTAGGTCATCATCATAACCACAGGCAAAACAAAGAGTCACTGGTTGGCTTGTCTGGAGAGATTTCAGGTCCCAGGAAAGTTTCTCAAACAACAGCAATACTATGAAAACGAAAGTGCATGAGACCTTCTATAGACCCATTTGAGTTTTGTTGTTGTTTTAAACAGCTGAGTCATTCTACTACATAACAGAATTGCCTAAAGTTCTGGTTCTCTATCCCTGGTTGTGCTTAAACATCGCCCAAATATCTTTAAACATACTGCTGTCCAGATCTCATTCCAGAACCATCATCAAACCAGAATACAGGTGTGTTGCATGCATGCTTGTGCACACACAAACACATGCACACATGTGTGGGCCGAGAAGGGCAACATCACGACTGCTTCTTAAATTCTATATAGAATGTATCTACAACAGCTTCAAGACCTGTCAGTAAACTTTCAACTGTACAGAGCAGCTACTACTGTCTCTATGCGAAGAGACTCCAAATGACACAATGAGAACTGTGCAAAAATGGTTATTTGTATCATGAATGCTAGTAATTTTCTTTTAGACAAAAACCAACACTTATTCTTTTTTTCAGTTCATACAGAAAATCACAAATAAACAACTCTACTGAAAGTTCATTTAATATTTTATTGAGCACTGACCACATGCCCGGCACAGAGCTTGGGTACAAGAAGAGTATGCCATAGTCCCCACCTTCCAGGGCATGTGGTTGAATGGAAGAAACACTCTATGTGGTATGCTGACTGCCAGACAGAAATAGTAGACAGAAAGAAGGACAGCTACAGAGGGTGAGATAGTGGCATCTGGGGCTGCACAGCGAGTTTTAAGAGGCAGGGAAGCTCGGACAATGGCTGGCCATAGGTGAGTCAGGTGGAAGAAGGCTGGGAAGGAGATCCTACACAACAGCATGCTAAACAGAGCACAGAGCCACAAGGATGTCGTACTTTAAGAGCAGCAGAGGTAATTCAGCCAAGCAGAACTTGAGTCACAAAATCAATTTACCTAGGGGCAGATTATTCATCTATGTATTCATTTAATTAATATTTTGAACACTTCACAGGAGGTGTTCCAGACACACTTTATGTGAACCAACAAAAATACCCAAATAGGAGGTTTCTGCTCCCTGAGCCAGGAATGGTCCTGAGCCCTGGCTCCTCTCTCTCCCCGGGCTCCCAGGGCTGCAATGGCCCACAGTTCGGAGCTCAGCAGGCCGTGGAGGCAGCAGCAGGAGCAAGGGCAGCACTGTCCAGCCCCAGCTTCTGTGATCTTCAAAGGAAGAAGAGCAAAGAAGAAAAGGTCAGCCCTGGGTCTGCTCACACAGGCCTAGGGCAGTGTCCTTCATCCAAAGGTGGTACAAACGTGTCAGGAGTGTAGCTGTGGCTTCAACAGCAATGGCTACGCCTATGGTCCCCTCCTTGCTCCTGACAATCGTGCTCACTCTCCAATCAAGACGGGTCTCTGCCACATAGATAAAAGGGGTCTGTGAAGAAACTTTAAGCCACCTTTAAAGTTCTATTTTCATTTTCTAGCATGGCTAATCTATTTCAGATCAAACTCAACCTTAATATAATCTGTTGAAAGGCAAGAAACTGGTGAGGGGCACCTGTGGTTAGGTGCATCTGATGAACAGGCACATTTTAACCTTCGAGGTGGAGTGAAAATATTTCAACACTTTTAATTAGGGTTATAACCTAGCTACGTGTTGAATAGCAGACCTGTTAACAGGAGGCAATTCTATTTACAATGAGAAAAATGATGGCATCCAAAGAAGATGGATAGTTCAGCAGGCTTAACGAGCAACCCTCTTCTTCAAATATTCCTTGATCCTAAGAAATCAACTGTCTATTTATCTGTATCCGGCAATTCTCCACACACTAAAATTTTCAAAGAAGCTTTTTTTAAAAACTGGCACCTCGTTCCAAACTAACTGAATATATATCTTTGAGGTCAAGCTGATGAAGCAGTAATTTTATGTACCATACAGTTATTATGGTATTGTATTTTAACAGACATGTAGATACAGTGTTGCTGGAATTTACGGCTCTTTACAACGGAAGTCCCATTCAAAATGAGAACGCCTCCTAGAGCATCCCTGATAGATGATCACCTGACCTTGACTGAAAGCCAGTAGTGGGAATGCTGTCGACCTCCCATTTTGGCCAACTCCAAGAGAGCAAGTCTGTGCGAGAATGCTGGCTGCTGTGCAGAGCTGTGGCCTCTGGCTCAGCCCCACTCCCCTGGTCTCTGCCTTTTGAAGAGGCCCAGACTCTGCACCCTTGCCCTCCCGGCCCAGAATAATGCCGAAAGAATCAGCGAATGGTCACTAAGAATAAAGAACACTCTTATGCAGCTTTGAAACCGCTACACTTAATAAATAAACAGGGCTTGGCACAGAGTAGATGCTAAAAATGCAGCAAGCAGAGGAGAGTGAGTGTGTGTATGTGTGTGTGTGTGTGCGTGCACGCCTCCATGTGCATGCGTATGTGTGTAGAGAAGATGCTCATAGTTTCCACTACGGTCTAGTTACTCCCCATTCCACCTGTCTTCTCAGCACATGCAATTCATAAATATCACTATTCCATGCATTAAGCTTACAGGAGAGTGTGGGGACACATTCTGTGAACTTGAAGAATTCATAATCAGACGGAAGAAATTTTTCTGAGTCTTCACTAGTGCTGGGCTTTCACTCAATTCTCACAGCAAAGCTACAGCTTCTAGGTACACTAGTTTCAGAAGATAAAAGTGAAATATGCAGAGGTTAAGTGGCGCATTCTGCGTGTCACAGTTCAGTAGTAGCAGAATTGAGATATGCTGTCTACTAGACTCCATTGCCAGGGTGTCCCATCCACACACCAGTTAAGAAAGGCAACCACAGTATCTACCACTGAAGGCTCTCCCATACAATCCAGCCCAACACGTTATCTAGTGGCTAACTTGGCAACAACTGACTGATGATGCCTGGAACAGCACTGCTTAGGTGGTACATGGGTTTCTAGTGCACCATAGTCTCCACCCCTCCAAATGTCTTCCATTCACTCAAAGGTCAAATATCAGTTGAAGTTTATCTTCATATAGGTGCTGTGATTTCCTCAAACCTGACCCACTTTACTCCTTTACAGTACCTACATAAATAGTGTAGACTTTTAGGTTTGCAACCTCAGGGTAACACTACCAGCTAAAATTCCTCAAAAGGACCATATCTTTGCCCACTGTGAAAAGTTTCTGAAGGTGGAAACTGAGTGGTACTTTACATTTGAAACAGATTATTATTGTGTCTGCCAGACACAGTATCTATTAGGCATGGGAATATCCTTTTTTCTGGCTACTAATAATAGCAGTCTTCAGTTTCTAGTTTCTGTGTCCAGTCTGCCTTGTTCCATTTCTTTTCAGTGGACTTAGATCACCCAGTTACATAAACATGACATAGGAATTTCATATACAAAGCTACTGCAGACACTGACACTCCCTTCTTAGAAAATACCCAGGTTGCTAGCCTGCTCAAGGCTACCCACTCCGAGCTAATCATCCCAGTCATTTTTTCATCAGACTCTCTACTGTGGCTCTTGAGTTTGATGGGGCCAAATCTCTCTCTAACTCAGAACCTGATGCCACAGCACTCTGAGCACCAGTACTCTCCAAGCTTTTAGCACCTGGAAAGTGATCGTTGCCCTCCACACCTGATCTCTAAACCAAAATGTAGTTGGTAAGAGACATCCAACCTCACACTCCACTCTGGCCCTTTAGATTGACGAGTCAAGTCTATTTCAACTAGTCCCACCACAAGGGAAATGAAAAGGAATGGTCTTACCTTCATGGTTTACTGGTAAAGGACGAAACTCCTTATCCAAAACAACCAGGGAACATGTGGCATCAAACCCAAGACCTCGAACTTGGCTTAAATCGATCCCTTGCATGATTTTCTGTTTCAAAAATAAACAGACAACAACATAAATTATAATGACAAGATTTTAAAAGCTTAAAAACAAGTTAGAACTATGTTTGACAGAATAAAAAGTAATCCTTACAATAACAGCAAAAATACAAAAGGTTCAATATCACCAACATAGCAAAAGATCCTATAAATTAATAAGAAAAAGACAAACCAATAAATTTGAAAATTAAACAAAGGACATGAAAAGTTACATCATTAAAAAAAATAGTTCATAGGCACATGAAAAGATTTCCAACTCTATTAAATAAGTTCAAGTAACCAAATTTCTTCCTCGTATTGACAAAAAATGTAAAGATTATAGTATAAAGCAGTGCTAAGATATGACAAAGTAGAGCTCCCTGTACACTATTCTAACAGTGTAACAAATTATTACAAATACTATAATTTTATATTATTTATTACATTAAAAGCAAGTAAAACCTTTAGCCCAACAATCCCACTTTTAGGTGTCTCTCATAGCAAATGATCAGCTACATGAGTAAATTTATATGTAAGATGAGGTTAACTGTAATACTTTTTGCTTAAAAAGTGGACACTTTTTTAAATATTGTTAAGTAAATTACATCTGATATGTCAAATATGGAGTATTCAACAGCCACTTAAAAGAAAGAAGTAAAAAACAACTTCTAAATGTGGTGGTATAATGAAGTCAGTAAGACCTTGTAGCAAAATAAAAGCACTAAGCACTACTTCTCTTCACCCTGGTACTATAGGTTCCAGGCAATGTAGCAAAACAGGAAAAATAATGAAGAACATAGATTTGAAGAGGTTAGTGTCCTCTTTGTTAGGCAGGTATGGTCACATATACAAATTTCCATACTGAACATTGTGTATTAACTAAATTGAAATTAAGAAAACAATTTCATTCATAACAACAACAAAAATTACTCAGGAATGAATTTATCGAAAGATTTTTAAAATCTTGGCATTAATTATCAATGAATTTACTTAACAATATTTAAAAAAAGTTTCCACTTTTTAAGCAAAAAGTATTACAGTTAACCTCATCTTACATATAAATTTACTCATGTAACTGATCGTTTGC